GTAGCATGAGGAAAAGCTGGTTTTCCCGGGGCCCTTTGTGCTGCCAAAAGGATTTAGGTGGCGGGGGGGGGCTCCCGGCAGCCTGGTACGCCAGCGGCTGTTGCTACAACACAACCCTCCTCTTAGCAACTCCTCCCTGCAGCACCTAAAAATCACCTTGCTGCGCCCAGGTGGGTGCATTCTGAGGGCAGGCAGCTTCCCCTCTGACCATTCGTTGCACGTCCCCTCGCTGTTTCCAAAGCCGGCGGGGCCTGCAAGCACTCCCTGGGAGACACCAGCTGCCCCCAGCCCTCCCTCCCCATCCCCAGCCTGGTTTTGGCCACCGTTGCCTTATCTCCCGCTCCCAGCAGCGCAGCCCCAAGGAGGTGACTCGGTGGCAGCCACCGCCGGGTCCCAGCGTGGCCGGGTGGCTCTGGAGGTGACAGCACCTCATTTCCATGCCTTGGATGCGGGTATGGAAACGCTCTCCCTTCCCAGCGGCGCTCCTCCCATGTCTCAAACGCTCAATTAACTTCTGAGGATCCACGTCTTGGAGATCCTGGGTGGCATCGGGCTTCAGCTCTGCCTTGGGGTTTGGCCCGACCCAGAGAATAATTCACTGAATAATTCACTGATCAACCCCCACTTTCATCCCGAGATTGAATTTGTGGCATTTTAAGGCAAGGGATGCTCTGCCCCAGCTGGTCCCCCAGTCCCGTCCTCCTTTCAGGGTACCCTTGTGCTTCCCGCCCGCTGCGGCATCCCGCATCCACCGCTCCCTCGGCTTTTGTTAAGAAACAAAGAGTCCGGTGTAAGTCAATGGAGCCCCTCGCTACCTCGTCCCGTGCCATCAATTTTTCATCAAAGAGCCGGTGGGAAGCGTGCAATTATCTGCTCCATCAATAATGCACGGGATTGCACTTGGCTCGCCCGGGCGAGGCAGCTGCTTTCCCTGCCTGGGTTCAACCACGGCTTTTCTAGGCTCAGACAACACCTGCAGAGACTGGGAAACCATCCCCAGCCTTTAGTCCCAGCCCAACGCTGCTCACACACCCACCATCCCATATTTCTGCCTGCGCTCCCGCTCCCGGCACGCAGCGTCACCCTGGTGCTGCCTCCGGGCTTGGGGGCAGAGTTAAGGGTATTTGAGCACATTTTCCCCTACGCCTCCTATCTCAAATCCACCCGGAGAGAGCTGCCTCTCTCCTTCCCGCAGGGGTCCGGGATGAAAGGCTGGGAATCCACATCTGAAATGATGGAAGCTTTGAAACTCCCGGCACTCGCTATTTTCCTCCCCCCACCCCCCCATCATTTCCAATTCTCTGAAGCTTCCCCTGCCTTTAGAGCCTTTCATCCACCCCGACGAGCCTCCCCCCTCCTTCCCGTATTTGCTTAGGCCAAGTTTTTTTTTCTTATTTACTTAACAAATTGCTCCGAGACGCTTTGATGTATTCGATTAGCTTCGACTGCTGGAATCAATTCATCTCTAGACGGAGCAGCATGGAGCAAAGCCAGGGGGGGTGGCTACCAATAAACCTCTGCGGGAGGCAGGAAGGTCCGAAAGTGCCCCAAAATAGGGTGTGCCAGAGGATTCTGCATGGCCTGAGCCCATCCCTGGCTGGGGAGGGGGCCCCGGAGAGAGGCTGAGGACAGGCCAACTCGTTTCACTTGTGAGCACGGAGGCACTTGAGCCCCTGGCAGTGCACCAGCCTCGTCTGCAACACAATCTCTCTCCAGCTCAACAAATACCACGTCGCTGGATGAGTATTAAGCCCAATTCCTTAATTGTTATGAAGATGGGATAAGCTCAGATTTACATATCTGAGAATTTGCTGCAGCAGTTTAGGAAGATCAGAGGGGAAAAAAATCCCATTTTCCCCTCTTTTCTATAACAAAAGCTCACAAAACCATCAGAAGATAGTGATGCCTTCATTTGCTTTGCCTGATGCCCCCACCATCCTCACCCATCCCCTTGGGATGTGGGTACCAGATGGGGCTGGGGGGGGGATGTCAGGTCCCCAGTGCCCCCTGCTCCTCCTTGGGGACACACAGGTACCCAAAACCATCCTCAGGACAAAACTTCTGGGAGGCCGTATCAGTGGGGAAGGTGGGGTTCTATTTCCCCCTCTCCTTCCAAAATCAAGGTGTTTCCTTGAGAAACCCCAACCCCCGGGGGATTTGCAGGTCCCCCAGGGGAAATAGGGAGATTTTTAGCCCGGCCGCTCCCCACACACCTTGGCAGGATGCACCAGCCGGCGAAAGGCAGCAAATAAACGAGGTTTTATCTGATTAAACCAAGGCTGAACTCCCTTCCCGTGCGTCGGGGCTAGGGGAGGGGGCTGTGCCGGGAGGGGTATATTAGCCAAAGCATTACAATTCAATTTAAGAGTTAATTGGATTGCATTGAAAAGCGCTTAATCTGAGCCAAGTTCGATTTAATAGAGACACCACATCTTCTGCTCCCTTCCTAACCAGGATGATGATTTTAGGGCGGGCGATTACCATCGCTATCCGGCTCCGGGCCCGGCTGCCGGCTGCTGATATCGTGTCGTACAAGGAAATAAAAGCCTCTGGATCACACTGGGTAACTCGGGGAGGCAAGACGCTCGGTGTAGGGACGACTGCTCCTCCTGCTCCCACCCGCCCGCCTGCTGCTTTGAGATAAGGCTCCAGAAAGCAGTCGTGCCACCAGCGGGGACTGTGATTCCTCTGCGAGTCGCTGCTGGTTTATTTTGCTCAAAGGAAAAAAAGAAGGAAAAAAAAAAAAAAAAAATTGGAGGCTAGGAAGAGGTGGGAAGACTTTTGAGAGCAAAGTCCGGCTGAGTCAGCTCCTGAAAAATAATTTTTCCCCAGCTCGCTGCAAAGGGCTGCTTTTGGGAGGGAGGGGGACAGCTGGAGCGAGGTCCCCAAGTGATGTCCTGCTGCTGCTGCTGGTGACCGGGGGGGAAAGGAGGGAGGGGAGGTCAGCAGAGCCTCCCAGGCCGGGTCTCTCCTCCCAGCATGGGTGAGAGCATCCCCCAGCGCTGCTGCTCACCCGCGACCACAAACTGGGGCCGGACCTAACAAAGCCCCCTTCCTGAGATCAAAAACTGAGGGAAGCAGGTTACGACTGTTACCCTGGGTACCCGCTGTGTCTTTGCATTGATTTCTTTTCCCTTCTAGGAAAACAGCCTCATCTGTGTTTTAAGACGAACACACTTTCAGCAGCTGGGGATGTGAAAAAGTGGAGAAATATCACAAACTGGGAGGCTTGGCAGCACTTGGCAGCTCCCCAAAGAGCCAAGCATAACTTTTAAAATCCGCGCACGGGACCTGAGTTAAATACCCTCCCCTAGCCCCACACTTTTTAAGTGCCCTCAAAGCATTTTCACCCCCTAGCTTTGAAAAATAAGTGGCTGCAGAGGGATAAGCCCCAAACATCCCCATCACCCCTGGTGACAGGCGCTGCTGTGACTTGCCCTTGGCCTGGCAGGCGGTTTATTGCCGGCGCTGTAGCCATCCATTTTCATGTTTGCTTATGTATTGGCTCCACTCGCTGATAAAACGCCCCTTTGCATTTCAGCAGCCAGCATAAATCCATCAACACCCCAAGCCACCGCGCCGAGAGCACCCGGCGCCGGGCAGCACCCGCTGCCCTGAGCACCCACCACCCCGAGCACCTCCCCCCGGCTGCTGGGCCTCGTCCTTCATTAATTATCACTGGAAAAGGCTGAGAAATCATTAAATGAGGGTGGGTGAGCCCTTCTGTGCTACGTTCACTGGGGGTTTAGTAGTGCTGCTGGGACTGGATTGGAGCAGGACCCACAAGGGCGCGCACGTGCCAATGCACGCTCCCACCCAACAAACAAAAAATGGTATTTTGGAGCCAGTTTTCTCTTTTTTTTGTTGTTTTTTTTTTTTTTTCCTAGATCTGGCTCACTGATGGGGGGCCACCAGCCACATCCACCGCCAGCCAGACCCAAGCAGGAGAAGCACATGCAAAGCTCACCAAGCCCAACTTGTTTCCCACCCCTGGACAGAGCCCGGATCACCTAAACCCCCTCATACAAAGTAGCTGCGACACCCAAACCATTTGAAACCCCACCCCCCCCATCCCCCTGACCCCCTCCCAGCCTCCCCCACCCCTCTGCCTGTGGGTCCCTGCCCCTCCAGCACCCTCCACCGCCCTGCAAAAGCCACGTCCCCCTGTCCCCCTCCTCACCACCCCACCTCGCCACATCTTGTCCCTAAGAAAACAGCATTTCCAGCTGCTTTTGCTCTCTTCCAGAGAGAGCATCACCCCATCAAGAGCTTCTCCCCTCTTTGTGACTGTGGGGTGCCCCGGTGTCACACGGAGAGGGGGGACACTGGGGGGACACTGGGGGGACACTGGGGGGACACTGGGGGGACACTGGGGGGGACCCACCCTCAGCGTGGCACCTTTGTGCACGGGGTTCGTCATCACCAGGGCAAAAAGCTCATTCGATAAAAGGGGGAGCGAAGTGCTGAATAATCTCCTTGAGGAGTAAAACGGGCGTAAATATCATCCGGGGTCACTTCGGTTTGGTTTGTGGGCCTCTTACTGATGGGCTAATCCCGGATGAGTGGAGGTGGCGCGGACGCTAGGTGGGGCTGCAGCCACGCGTGGGGCCGCCACGGCAGCCTCCCCTCCCAGCACCCCGGTCCTTCTCATCCCCTCTCCCCTCCCAGCACCCCGGTCCTTCTCATCCCCTCTCCTCTCCCAGCACCCCGGTCCTTCTCATCCCCTCTCCTCTCCCAGCACCCCGGTCCTTCTCATCCCCTCTCCCCTCCCAGCACCCTGGTCCTTCGCATCCCCCCTCCCCTCCCAGCACCCTCACCCCTCACAGCACCCTTCTAGCTTGTAGCACATTCACCAACTGCAGCACCCTTCTCCCTTGCAGCATCTTCACCCCTCGAAGCATCTTCACCAATTGCAGCACCATCTCCCCTTGCACCACCCTTTTCCTTTGCACCATCCTTATCCTTTGCATCCCCCTCTCCCCTGGCACGTGCAGCACCTTCACCCCTTTGCAGCACCTTCGGCCTTTGCAAGATCTTCACCCCTTACAGCACCCTCTCCCCCATGCACCATCTTTTTCCCTTGCAGCACCCTCTGCCTTCACATCTCCTTTTGCCCTTGCAGGACCCTCGTCCTCTGCCTCCCCCTCTCCCCCTCCTCTCCCCTTTGCCAGCAGGCCACCTCTGCAGGCACCAGTCCTAAACTGGGGCTCCCCTCCCAGCTTGCTGAGGCAGAAGACCCCACTCAGTGGGTGCAGGTGCACCCATCTTGCTTGGACATCACCCAGCAGCTGGAAATGAGTCCAGCAAAGGGGCTCGGATTGCTCCTGGCAAGCAAGACATCCTGTCCCCACTGCCGCTGCCTGTTCTACCACACCACGGGGTGTTTTGGGGGGACAATCTGCACATCTGGGCTCTCATCTCATGCAATGGAGCTGATGGCACACGTGCAGTGCTGGGAACAAAATGCCAGCAAGGAGGGAAAAAAAAAAAAAAAAGTCATTTACTTCTCCCAGTCCCATAAGAGGTCCTTTGGCATGTAAAACCCCCCGGCGTTGACAGGTCAGGGAAATAGTGGTGATAGGAGCGGGGAAAGAAAGGCTTGAAGAAGAAGCAAATGTTTGAAGAGGTTGGAGAAAACGCCTCCCTAATCGTTAAGTGCTGCTCGTAAATTATTCATCGACTGGTAAGAGAGGCGCAAATCTATTCAACGAGAGGGCAGAAGGGTAGGAAAACACGGTTAGGCTGAGCCCAGCGTAAACCTCAGCCTAAAGTCAGAAAGCTTGTCTGGCAGAAATCAGCCTCAAACCTCGGTAAGCCCAAGGAGGGGGTCTAATGTCCCAGCACAACCCTGCACAGAGGCTTTTCTGCCTCCATGGCACCAGGGAAGGGTTCCCCCATCTCTGATAATATTCCTCATTGCTTTGTTCCGCCCCCCCCCCCCGCCCCCCCTTTTTTTTAAATGAAGGCATTAACAAGCAAATCCGGAGCAGGACCACAAAAGCCGCAGGGTAGGGATGGGGATCCAGGTTTGATCAGCCAGAGCGAAGTGGGAAGAAGTGACAGGGCTGTGATCAGCTGAGTGCTCCCCCCCAGACCCCCCCCCCCCAGACCCTGGTGCTGGGGAAGGGGGGGGGCTGTCATGTCCCGGCTCCCTCCCGCACACACGCTCCATTAGTAGGGTGTCAGCCCCGATTCCCGGGGCTGTCAGGAGATGGGCTTTCCAAGCAAATCCCCTGTGCTGCAAAGCAAGCAGAGTGAAAACAATTTGCACTTGAGGGGGAAGAAAAAAAAGAAAGAAAGAAAACAGCTGTCAAAGGTTGGATGGGAAAATAATAATCCTACCAGCAACGCTTTCTAGCATTTTTCGCCAGAAAAAAAGAGAAGATGTTCAGGTAGGGCAGAAGTGCCCAGGACTTGTGCAAACCTTTTCTCCCGCTGCCTTGCCCAGGCTTTAAAATTGGCTGCTGGAAGCCTCCTTGAGACCACTTCCCACCCTCCCTGGCTTTATTGACACAGGGATGCTCTTGTGAGGATAGAGCGAGCTGGATTCGAGGCTGCTCGGGGCATCGGCGCAAGCAAACAGCAAAGCCGGGGGTGAAAACACATCGCACAGACTATGTGGTGATGCCAGGGTCGGATCCTGCCCAGGTTTGAAGGGTGCTGGGGCTTCTCTGGAGCCCTGGGGCCATTCGGTCCATCAAATTTGGACCTCGCATCCTGATTGCACTTAAGCTGTGCTGTGGTACCCGCCTCCGCACGCCCCATTAAGGGTTTCTATTAGGCTGGGCATAAAGCAGCTGCCGTGGCCATGGAAAAGGAAGCAATAAAGCTCAGTGGATTGAAGGAATTAATACAGCTGGAGGAAAAAAAAAAAAAAATAGCTTTTCTGTATTTTTATGGTTGCGTTTTTATTGCTAATTTTCTTCCTGCTTTGCAGCCTGAAGTGCAGCAAGAGGGATGGGGATGAAGGAGGGGTTTGGGCAGCCGCTGATGGGGAGATAACTGGGCTTTTGGGCAGCACAGAGCCCTTCCTCCCCTTCCCTCACAGCTATTTAATAAGCAGAATTGGGGTTTAACGACCTGTTATTTTTAAAGCCAGATGGCTTAAAGTACAGGAAGATATTAGGACCATGAGGGCTGGGTTTGAATTCATGCAAGGGCTCCATTTATCAGTACAAAGGGCTGGAGGAGGAGAACAGCTGCCTTTTTTTCTTTTTTTTTTTTTTTTTTTCTTTTTTTTTTTTCCTGGAGCCAAAAGGTATGAGCTGGAGGTGCCTGGGGTCTCCACCATAATGCAGTGGTAATAGGAGAGAATTTGCTAAATGGATTTGGGACTGAACAATCAGATCGAAGCTGGTGTGTCCAGGTTGCCCCGGCGAGTGCTGCCCCCAGCAAGGTGATGGGACGCTGCCTCCCCCCCCACCCCCGCCCCTGTGCCACCCCGAAACAGCCAGGGCCAGGGATGCTGGCATCGATGGAAAGGCCCAACACAAGAAATTATTGGTACAGCCAGGATGTGGGTAAAATCCAGCAATGTGTACATCGGAAGAGAGATTAAAATTGGGGATTTCTGCCAGTTTTAGACCGTTAGGCGGCAGGGTGCCCGCCTTGGCGGAGGCTGGCAGGGTGATGCGGCAGGCAGGGTGCTGGCGTGGCACCACCGACTGCTCCCACGGGGTCTTACCTGGTGGTAAAATGGGTGCGTGGGGGCTGCCCGTGGCTCTTCGCCCCTCTCGAGCGTGCTGCTGGCGGCGGGGTCCAGGCTGGGGAGGGCATCGCTGCCCCACGGGGTCAGGAAGGCCGCCGGTCTCTGAGGAGGGAGAGGCAATGGTTTGTAGGATGGATGGATGCGGTGCCAGGGTCGAGGAGGGGGCACCTGGCCTGAGCTGCATGTCCCCTGTCCCCCCCATCCACACCCCCAACGTGCCACCAGGACCGGCGGGATGGGAAAGACCTGTGGCTTGGCCACACTCGTCTCATTTTTGGAAGGTGCGAGGGGCGCCCTGGGCAGAGAGGGGATCCCCGGCGTGAACCAGAGCCGGACCGACAAGGTGAGGAGGAGGAGGAGGAGGAGGAGGAGGCAGTCCTTCATGCTGAAGCCTGTGTTGGTGCAAACAACAGGTCCGTGCCCAGCCCAGCCCAGCTCTCCCCTTCCCCAGGCGGGCAGGAGGTGGGTACCCAGGTCCTGCGGGTGCAAAGGGATGCTAAAAGCCCCTTTGTCACCTGGGGTGGCTCCCGGCTTTGGTGCCTGGTGGGTAACGCGCCCCCAGCACACCAGCAGCCCCCGCCAGATCCCCTGGCAGATGCTGCCGGCAGCGGTAATGTGATTTCCCTGCCCCTCATTTCCCTCTCCCGGCTCTGGGTGCCCTGCTCTCCTCCCACCAGCCTGGCTTTTATAGACTCCCCTCTAATCCGGTTAGAGGGGGAAGTTGGAGCTAATGGAATAAACGATGGAGTCCGTGCGCTCCTCGGTGCCGCCTGCGATGGCAAGGTCACAGACGGGGACTTTCCCCCTGCACCGGCCATCCCGGCTCCAGGTATCGGGGCAGGTTTGGGCAGTGGGGGACCTGCCGTGCCACTGGGATCCTTGCAGCAAGGCACGGCACCCCATCACCCACCTATTTCACCGCCTGAGAGCCGGCGACGGGGCGAGCCCTCGGCTCCCCACCACCTCCCCGCCTCGCAGACCCTCTCTCCGCTTCGCCAGCTGAGCAATCGGGCCGGGCGCCCTCTCCAAATTGGCCGCGGGCACGAGGAGCGGCGAAGTGGCCCTCGCTGGGTATTACTGCGTGCCTGGGCCCGGCCTCGCCTCGTTAGTGCAGCTAACGAAGGCAGTGAGCATCCCCCTCCTCTGCAGCGGAGGGGGGGGGGGATGAGGAGGTGTCCGGAGGCGTCCCCGTGCCCTTCCCCATCGCTGCCTCATTAACACCATCAGCATCATCGTCCCTTGTGCCGCCACATTTCATTACGCCGCCGGCCCCGACCTCAACCAAGCTCCTCCAGCATCAAAGCCGGGGGGGTGAAGATGCCCCCCCCCCATCACTCTCCCCCTCCCCGAGGAATAACATCATGTAAAATGCAACAGTTTAGGCTCTGCCTGCAATTACCGAGGCCGGCGTACAGCTGCTGCCCGCCGCGCCGCAGCGCCGGCCAGCCCAGCCCTGCCACCATTGCCCGGCGGAGAGCTGCTCGCCAGAGCACACGTGCTTTTAATTCAATTAACGCTGCCCTGAACACTCCCCCGGGACCGGCAGGCAGAAAGCAACAAATTCACCTTAACAAAGACATTCCCTGGTTGTTGGTTTTGTTGTTTTTTTTTTTTGTTTTGTTTTGTTTTGTTTTGTTTTTTTTTCTGTTGGTCCCTCGCTGGCTTGGCTCTCCCCAGTTACACAATGGCTGGCAGCGATGCCCTAACGCCTTTTGTAATCCGCCGGGCAATAAGAGGAATGGGTGCTGTGTTTGATTGACAGGTGTCAATCAAGGGCTGGCAAGCAGGAGCTCGGCTGCCAGCAGTTTGGCTGTGCCAAAAGCCCGCGGAGGGTTTGCCGGCTCGCCGAGGGAAGATGCTCGGCACGGAAGGGCGATGCTTCCCCAAAACGAGTCTTTCACCAGCTTCTGCATCCCCTGCAATGTGGTTTGGGGATAAAACCCTGACTGTGGTGCTCGTGAAGAACAAACTTGGCCAGACAGGCTGAAATAATGGGAAACACATGGCCATTCCCCACTCCCTCATCAATTGTAAACCCATTTCTTTGCCAGCCCAAAAGGGGTTTGATCGCCGGGCTGGCATGGTGACAGTTTACACCCCGGCACTGTGACAATTTACGCCAGGCACCGATCTGCTTCTGGTTTTAAATGGCAGCAATTACATAAATTAAGGCTGTTTAAGCAATGATATAGCCAGCCTGTTGATTTTTTTTTTTTTTTTTCTCTTTGCCTAGGAAAAAACAGCGCTAGCTTTATCCTTTTTTTTTTCAGAGGCTGTCACCACGTGCCGGTATGTCCCCAGCCCCCATCTCGGGTGACATGACCAAGGGTGCTCAGCAAAGTGGGTAGCAGAGGCTTGAGGTGATTTCAAAGGTCCCAAGTGCTGAGTTAATGGGCTGAGCGAGGTGGGGTCATGCCAAAACGAAGTATAAAAAAGGGCTGGTTAATAAACCGGGGCAATGAATAAATCCCTGAGGATCAAAGATGCCTCCAGCGGGTATTTTCCAGCCCTTGGATGGGGCTCAGCATCCCCCAGGCACATCGGGGACCACATCCTGCTGACCCGGCACCTGGATTTGCCACCAGCTACTGCAGGGTCAAACTCATCTTTCTTAGGCAAGACACCAAATTTGGGGTGGAAAAAGAAGAATGCAGAGGAACCAGGAGCCCTGCCTCGAGCCACAAGCCGGTACCGAGGTAGATAAAGTCAGCTGCAGGTTTTGCCCCTGCAACAGTTTTTCAGCAGCAGCCGTTAATTTGCTAAAACGTCAGCGTTTTGCTGAAGTCTTTGCTTTCTTTGTCTCCGAGATGATCAAAGTCTTTTGTTCTTGTTTGGGCTCCAAAGAGTGAGCACAGGGGGATGAAGGTGTGGGGGGGGAAATGGGCTGGATGGGGGCAAACCCAGGGATCTCGGTGCCTTTACTGGGGTTTGGGGGGGCGTGGGGGGTCTGCAACCCAGTGCTGCCCTTTCCCTGGGATAACATGACTCCTGTTTGCTCATCCCCGGTGTCGGGGCTCTCGGCTTTTAATAAAGCAGCTGCTCCAAACCCTTTCCCTGTGGCTATTACAAATGTAGCAGGGTTTTGAGACCCTGAAGAAATGCTGGGGGATGAGCCCAGTTTATGGGAAGCCCTTTATCCCTAGAAAACCCTGGCACTGAGGACATTTTCCCGGCATGGGGAGGGTCGATGCGAGCATCTGCAGCCAAGCTCAGGAGCATCCAGACCCCTGGTAGGAGTCGGTGAAATCCCTGCAGAGGCCACGGAGCTGCCGGGATTTACGCCTGGCTCCGAGTGCGCTGGGGAGTACAGATGGCCCAGGGTTTATTTAGCTGCTGTTTGTTATAAAAAGCCCAGCCAATCTAGGTTACGTATTCTCAGCTCTCTACATTAAAGTAAAAAAAAAAAAAATTAAAAATTAGGGAAGAAACGAGATGAGCTCGGTGAGTGTTCTCCTTTGCCATCTGGCTGGGGAGAGCTGTGGGGTGAGGGAGCGTGGGGCAGGGGCGCTGGGGCTCTTTGCACCCCAAGGACAACCCTGGTGTAAAGGTTGCCCCAGCGCCTCGCCGGGTCTGTTCAGGTCCTGTATTGACCATCTTTGCCTCTTGGCCCCCGTTTGGCCCCTTCTTGCTGTCCTGAAGCTGGGCTCCGGACTAATCCATGAGCAGAGTACTTGGAAATCCAGGCTTCGAGCATCCCTTGAAGCCTGGGGCTGCTCGAAGCAGGGGAGGAGAGGCTCTGCCTCTGCAACCGCGGCATCGTCTCCCCTGCCCGCCGAGCTGCGGTTTCGGGGTGCTGGGGATCACAGCTGGGGCATCGTCCTCAGAAAATCCTGACCTCCAGGCAAGAAACAAGGGTCTTGGCAAAGCTGAGAGAAGCTGAACCTGTCCTCACCCTGCTCGGTAGCAGCTCGCTCATGGATTTGCATCGCTCCGGGTCCGTCTGCCCCGGCTGCCGCCGGATGAATTAACCAGACGCGGAGCCCAAGGCTGGCTCTGGCTCTCCTGTTTTTGTTTCCACTCCCAGCTCTTACATATATTAAAGAAGGCAGGGCTGGAGGGGGGGAAAGGGAGAGGTTGGGGAAGAGGAGAAAAAAAAATTACAGCTCCCAGATCAAAACAATAATCAGCTAAATGAATTCCGCAGCATTTTCCCGCATGACTGCGAGTGATAATTTAGTGCAGCAGCCAGCTGGAAGCAAAAGGATTAATTCTGCACTTAGTGACACCCATGTGAATAATTCATCACACGCAGACCCCTTTTTGCTGACCCCCCTGGGCAATCACTCCAAAGACCCCCACCAGCCGGCCCCGGCCCGCTGTGGCTCCCCGGGGAAGGGGGGTGCAGTCACCAGTGCAACATCCAGACCTGTCCCAAATTCACTTTATGGGCAGGTTTGGGTTTGCTTTTTGTTTTCTGTTTTTTTTTTGTTTTTTTTTTTGTTTTTTTTTTTTGTTTTGTTTTTTGTTTTTTGTTTTTTGTTTTTCAGATGGGAGTGGTGGCTGGTGGCTGCAGTAATGGCATAGATCAGGCTCACGGCCGCATCCTGACCTGCCCGAGGGTTGGTCCTGGAGCCAAGGGCAAGAGGGGCTCCCTCCTCCCCGGGAAAAGCAGCCAAATTCCCTCCCTGCTGTGACATCCCTGGGGACCATAAATGCTGAAGGATGAAGACAGTTGAACATTTGTCACCGTGGTTAACCAGCCTGGCTCTTCTCCGCATGGAGACAGTGAACAGCCTCTCCCAAACACCCTGCCTGTGCCCTGCCTGCCCCGCTGCCTCCAGCGTATTCCCAGGAACACGAGCACGTGCCAAAATCCCTGGAAAAGTGACGGATGCACAAGGGCAAGAACGACGCTGCTTTTCCCAGCTGCCCGGCGGCGCGATCCGGAGCCCTGAGACAACAGGCAAAAAGGATAAAACCCGGATCCAGCCCAGCTGATCCCCACCTGAGAGGTTTGGAGAGGGGGTGGCAGCTCTAAAGAGCCGTCTCCTGCCCCGTCCCCATTCCCGTCCCTCCTTGCCTCGGGGTTCACCGCCCCCCCCCAGCATCTCACCTCCGACTGAAGGAGCTGCAGGCAGAGCCCCACGGTTGGGATGGTCCCAGAGGCGGTTTTGAGGTCCGTGCCCTGGGGAGGCAGAGGAAGAGTCGCAGCCCACGCCGGCCTCTGGGTTTCTACCGGGGCTCTGGTGGCTTCGGCGTCACCCAGATGCCACCCAGGGGTGCAGGGCTGCGGCTCAGAGCAGGAACCCCCGCTTCCCGTGGGACGCTCGGGAGCTCTGCGCCAGGCTGCCCACCTGGACACGGGGATCCCGCCATGCCAACAGCTATAGGCACCACCACCTATAGGTGCCATCACCGTGCCACCCTGGCCGGCGTCACCCCGCAGCCCCTGGCTCACCTTCACGGCAAGGCCGTCCACGCGCATCCCGCCGCCCCGCGCCGCCAGCTCCCGGAGAACGCGGCTGGTGAGGGGCAGCACCGAGTATCCTGCTGGAACGAGGGGGCCTGGAGCACCCCACACTGGGGAAGGGGTGAGAGCAGCAGGCTGGGGGCACGGAAGCCCAGGGCCTGCCCCTGGCCAAACCCGGGGGTGAGGGAGAGCATCCTCAGTGGGGTCCCCAAACTCACTGGGTTTGTACGGATAATATTCGATTGCCAGGGCGGTGCCTTCGGAGAAGATGGTGGCCACGTCTCGGCCTTGGAAGAGGAAGGAGGTGTTCCAGGTTGGCTGCTCTGGGGGCCCGGCTGATCGGGACATCTTAGGAAATGAGAGGAAAATTATCCTTCAGACTCTAGAGATAAATAAGCAGACAGGTGGGAGGGAGAGAAGAGGTGGGAGGTAAAGTAAAGCACAACCTGTGCAGCTGCATCCCACCCCTGACTCAAAAGCAACCCCAAATCCCAGTTGCTTGAACTGGATCTTCGAGCTTCCCTCCGGCTAATTCCTGCCAGCATCTTCCCTCTCACAGAGCCAGAGGAGGAAACCAGCACATGGACCAACCCCTCCATGCTTAAAAACACGATGGGAAGAGCCTGGAGGATGACCTGCTCTGACTCCAGGGTGAGCCTTTTGGCATCTCTCAAGCGACCTGGACCTCACGCTTGGGGAAAGGGTTTGGTGACGATATACGGACCCCGAAAGTTCCGTACGTTGTCTCCAAACCCTTTCCCAAGCGTGAGGTCCAGGTCGCCTGACAGATATCGAACAGCGGGCAACACGTTTATCCCCAGAGCTTGGAAATGGCATCGGTCCATCCCCACCAGCAGCTGCTCCCCTTCGCTTTCGGAAAGCCCCCCCCCCCCCCCCTCCCCAGCTCTCCAAAGGTCAGCCTTAACACCGGCTACCCAGCACCAAGAAATTATTGACCGCAGCTCCTTTTTAATGCTGTTACTCCATCCCCTCGGCCGGCGTCGCCCAGCGGGGACGAGATGCCGATCGGTTTTTCTGCATCAGCACATTTCTGCTCCATCGGGGAGGGTGGGAGGAAGAGCTGGGAAGGGGAGGGGGTCTCCCTCTGCTCACGTTTGGGGTTGCTAATGGGCATTAGGCACCTTGGAGACCCGCAGCCGTGCATTACCCAGCCCTGGGGGCTGTTAGCAAGGGGAGTGTGGGGCTGGGATGCTTCAGAGCCCGAAAACACCTCCACAGTGGGCTGCACTGGGTAGTGCTGTTAGTGCTGGCTCAGCACCGGGCCGGATCCCTCGGATGGGAACTTGTCAGGGGCTCCCGCGCATCAGCAGGGTTTTTTAGCTGGCATGCAGCTTGCTTTAACCGCAGGGAGCCCAGTCCGTGCCTGCCAGTCCTTAGGGAAAGCCCACACGGACTGGGGCAGCTCCCAGCAGCCTGATCCAGCTCAGCACCTTCCAGCCGCTCCTCTGCTTTCCCAGCCTGCATCCCAGCCCACGGGGCTGTTTCATCAGCCTCGGAAAGCCCAAACTGGGGGAAAAATCTCCTAAAAAACGCTGTAAGCCGCCTCCAGTTACTTTTCCTGGCATTGACCTGTACAAGGCCCTGAGAGATCGTGCCATTTCAGACTCAGCAGGGAAGGGAAAAGTCAAATGTGGGAGCATATTGTTAACTTGACCCCAATTGTTGGAGGTCCTGAGCCCACATGGCTCCTCTCACTGGAACAGGGATGGAAGATGACGTTCCAAATTTCCCCCCCCCGCCCTGATTTTGGGGGTGGGGGCAGGATGGTTGGCTGGGGCTGGGCTGTCTCCCACTGGCTCGGCGGGACAGATGGATGCTCTGTGCCGGGGCGTCAGAGCCGATGTACTGATCTGGGCAGACGTCTTGGCAGAACAAACGCCTCTGCCCAAGGCCACCTGGAGAAACACAACAAAGGGGACGGGGGGGAGGAGGAGGAGGAGGAGGAAGACACCTTCATCCTCCTTGGCTACCCCAGCTCATCTCCTGTACAAAGGCTGGTTCAAAAGCAGCATCATTGGCAGAAGAGCGTGAGAAGCTCCAGATAAATGGGTTAAGCTAGAGGGTCCCCAAGGGAAAAAGCCCAAAAGGAGATTTTTCTTAGAGGGGACCAACGTCCCAAGAGCTTGAGCTTGGTGCTGGGAGGACAGGCGCAGCGTGGCTTTCTGCAGGAGGCACAACCCGGTGCCCGTCCACCCCGTGGATTCACCGTTGCCACCAGCGTGTCCAAACCCATCCCTTTTGGTGAGAGAGGGGCTGTTGGCCCAAGGAGAGCACCCGAGGAAAGGACCCAATGCTCCTGCAGGCAGCTCTGTGCAGGTCTCAGCTAACTCCTGACCAGGAAGACCAGGCCTCCAGGAGCGCCAGGCAGGCAAGGAAGGGTTAACCACCCAGGAACCCCAAAACGCCCTAAGTAAGAGGGGTGCCTTGCTGAAGGTGAACCCAAGCGCCGCTCTCTGCAGACGCTGATGGGAACCGACAGGCGAGAGGACACGCTGGGCTGGCAGAATTATTGAATCCGATTAGCCTGCCCAGCAGTTCGCTCGGGGAAAGCCATTAACCTCTGGAAGCGGAGCAGCCACGCTCCCTCCTCCTCCTCCTCCCCGCTTTCCTCTAACCTTTCCTCCCAGGCGTTAGGAGTTCATCCTCCCCGGGAAGGAACCGTGTCCTACAGGTGGGGAAACTGAGGTAGGAGATGGAGGAGGGAGAGAGCGGATGGGGGTTACGCAGCCCCCCCCCAGGGGAACCTGGCCGTGCATCCCTGGGGAGAGCATCCTCGGCGACGTGCAAAGGCAGAGCCATGTGGGCACGGAGGGGAGGAGGAGGAGGAGGAGGAGGAGGAGGAGGAGGAGGCAGCAGCAGCACGCACACAGGCCAGATGGCCGGGTTTAATCACTCGTCTTCCCGCGTTGGGCTCCCACGGCTCCGTTCTGGCACTGCCGCCTGTGCCGGGGCTGTGGGGCTTGGCTTGGGCTCGCCCAGCGCCTGGGTACCCCAACTTCACCGGGGGGTTGCGTGGTATTTATCCATCTAAATCCAAAGGAACTGCCTTTTGGCTGCATTTAGAGGGGAGAAATATTCCCTTGCTCTGGCTGGGAAACCGCAGCCTCGGGGTGCTGCATCCTGGAGCAAAGAGATGAGGGGAGGAAGAGAACGTGGGGGCAAACGCACAGGAATTTCTTTCTTACTATCTGCTCCGGAGCCAGCGCGGGCAGCTTGTACCCCAAACCCATTGCCATGGGTGGGGCTGGGGGTGCTGCTCCCCGGGGGGACCCAAAGCAGGTGCAGAGCCAAAGCAGAGGGTCCCCGGCGCTCCCCCCGCCTCTCACCTGCAAAGAACAACCCGGGGAGGCGGAGGGCAATAAAACAACAATTATTGTAATGAATGAAACGCACTAGCAATTTTTATGACAATTCACCGTCTCGTGGGCGACTTGGCATTCGGCCGGCCTCCTCGAAGTAATATTTTATTTATGGGCTCCCCAAATGTGTTGATACAGGGCGTTTCTCTCCTAGACGATCAAAATTCAACGCACGGGGGAGGAGCGAGATGGAGAAACGTGCACTCTGCCAGCGTTTGGGACCAGCTGGATCCATTTTTTCGGGGCGGCTGGACATCTGCCCTCGCCACGCTTTCGGCTGGCACTTTTCAGAGGTGAGGGGATGGAGCAGCTCTGGTTTTGAAGGGTGGCAGCTTCACGCTGGCTTCTGGCTCGGCTGCCCCATCACACCTCCTCCCTGCCCCAGCATCCCTCCAGTCCCCTGCCTCTCCCTCCTTGCCAATTTTTGGCAGGGCTCGGGAACAAAAGCGGGGCCCTCCTCCTGCTCGCTGATGATGCCTCGTGCCCAAAGCATATGTTTCCCTGGCAACAGCTATTTTGAAGATGTGCGTCGCTAACTCTCCCGGCGCTACTTGAGGCCCGGGGAGGAGAAGGTCTCTGCCTTCGAGAGGCGGCACTCGAGCCGGAGGCGTGAGCGGAGCAGGGGGAAAAAAAGAAGGACAAAGGCAGAAGCGAGGAGCTGCCTGTGGGTTTCTGCAGGCAGGGCGAGGCGGATGTGGGGGGCTGCGTCTTTGGTGCTCAAAGCATCACTTCGCCCCTAAAGCTTTTCCCTGCACGGGGTGCTCAGCTCCCCTGCCGAAGGAGGGATGCTCCTGGGTACCCAGGCAGGATGGATCCATCCTCGCGGGAGCGCTCGGCCTCGTACCTGCGTGTGGCCACGATTGGCAGCTCGGGAGGTGATGAAGGCTGCTGCCGGAGGGTCTGGGAATGTGATGGTGGCGGGGCTGATGTCAGGACAGGAGGTGGGAAGCGTCTCCATGCGGTGCCTGAGAGGTGATGGAAAGGGGGAGAGTCAGCACCGGGGGGGGCACGTCCGCTCCCGGCGAGCCAAGCACCGCGGGAAGGGGTGATGGCACCAGGGGTGCTCAGGGTGCCCCAAGCCCAGGGCCCCCCACCTGTGTCACCAGCAGCCCCCCGTGGCCATCACTCACTCGTACTCCGGAACATTGGTCACAACTCTGGCCACAGCGACGAGCGGCCCGGAGGGGGTGGCCAAGGGGGCGGACAGCCCCCGCAGCAACACCTGGGAGGTGGTGGTGGTGGGGGTTTCACGGTGAGGGGTTCAGCAAATGCAGAGGGGAAAAAAAAAGCTGCCCTAAATCAGCATCAACAGCCACCGGAGCAGGAGACGAGGTGCAGCAGCATCCTCCCCGAGTGGAGATGCTCTGGTCCATCCCAGACCCTGCAACCACACACCCACCCCCCCCCCCAATTCCCCGCCACCTCCTGTCCCCAGGGCCACCTCTCACCTCCAGGGCCACGTAGCTCAACCCATCACAGCGAGGGATGGAGCTCCCTTTGCGGGTGATGGTGACGTGCAGGACGGTCCCCGCGGGGTCCCGCGTCCTCGGCTGGTGGCGGAGGAGAGCGAACCGTGGGAGGAGGAAGGGTCAGGGCCACCAAACGCGGGTGCTGGGCGCGCAGACAGCCCATCGCTGGCCATAAAGCACCAACTGATAATTAAAGCTCACTGTTCCCCGGAGCCTTCCGGGAAAAGATCAATATAATAAATCCTTCTGCATTTAAATATTTAATTGCTCTCAATCACTGTGCAGGGAAGAGGGAACTCATTTCTGCCAGCCAGAGCATAGGGGAGGCTGATTTGGGGGGAGTACTGAGTGAGTTTGCCAGGTCTCAGCTGTACAAGGAGCTATCAATCAGCCAAATCCCTGGGACTGTCAACAAGATGGGATGGAGAAATCCTCACTGAAAGGCTTGGGGCTCTGGGGCTGGGTACCCACCTGCATTAATTAATGCATCGTGGCCTCTGTTTAATGAACACTCTGACATATGACCCGGCCCCGCGTCTCCTTCCCCAGGACACTGGGGGCCAAAGCACTTCCCAGTTTGCAATCCCATCACTTTTCCTCCACGTTTTCCCACCAGAGATTTAAAAAACCCAGCACAACACCTGCCTTCTTCCCACCTCACGGGAAGCCCGGGCAGCAATTTGCTCACAAGTCTCTCTGAGCACCTTCCCCAATTTGCCAAATTCAGGTTTCCCGCCGGGATTACGCTGTTACACAAGGGTCCCTTCGCCCACAACCCCCAACTGCAGCTGGGGTGAAAGTCAGAGTTGTAAGCAGGAATAAACAGCGGGAAGGTGGGGCAGGAGCTGTACCTACCAGCACCAGCCTGCAGTGGTGGGGCTGGAAGGGCTGGAGGTGCCGCACCGGCAGCTGGAAGGTCCCCAACGCCTCCTTGGTGGCTTTGTCTGCCACGGTGAGAATCAGGGCTGGGAGGGGTGAGAGCGGGCGATGCGATGGAGAGAGAGGTTTGGGGAAGAAGAACGAAGAAGGGACAGAGGCAGCGGCGGGGCTGATTCATTTTCAGCAGCCCTGTCCCCTTGCAGGCCATGGGGGGAGTGGACAGGGACAGGATTTACATCCTTCCGGGGTTTATAGTCCCACGCATGTGCATCCTGAGGAGCCATCGAGAGCATGTCCCAGGCAGACCCAAGAAAGCGAAGCCTGTGACCAACTGGCACCAGGGCAGCTCAGATTCTCATTTTAGAAGCCAGGATTTCCCATTGACCCACGTCCCTGTCTCCAGCCCACCCCACTCAGCTGCCAGGGTGGGAGCCCTTCCTGCCCTGGGGTTAGCCCACGGCCCAAGGGTGGCTTTTGCAGACATTTGCCACCACGGCATCAGCCCTCCTGGGGATCCCCGGTCCCCATCCATCCCCCCCGGCACAGCAGCATCACCCCCACGGGTGCTGGCACCCCCAGCTCTTCTCTTAATTTAAAGCAAAGCTGCAATTTAGTTGACAAGTGCGAGCAGGAGCCTTTTATCAAAAAAAAAAAAAAAAAGGAGCTGATGGAAGGGAAAACCGCCCTCTCTTTATGCTGCCAACAAGACTTGGGCTTCCCTTCCCCCAGCTTAATGACTCTGCGGAGGCACCCGCCTTAACTCCTGCTTGGCCAACCTGGCGATGCCACAGGTCGTGCGTGTCCCCAAAACGAAGACGACGGACCAGGCAAGCGCTCGGACCACACTTTCCCGAGCTCGTGCTTTTCAGCAAGCGCTCGATTTATATGCAGATTTTCTTTTCCTCCCAGCCCATTGTGGAAAGAGCACCAGGGAAAATGTTCTGGGGTCGAGCGAGAGACAAGTGGTTTTCCTGGTAGATGATAGATCAACCTCGGCAGCCCTGCCGATGGAAACCATATTTCTGGGCGAAAAAAGGATGGAAACTGTATTTCCGGGCAAGAAAAAGTGCAAGCTGCGCCCAGAAACGACAGCTCTGGTCTGAACATTGGGGGAATGAACATCTCGGAACATCTGGGGGATGCTGGGGGGCAGACAACCGGGGCCGAAGGTCCCATCAGGTCTCCCAGCAACTCTCCCAGTACCGGACGGGGCACGTCTGGAGTACATCGAAAGCTCCTCAATTTCATTTAGGTCAGGGCCTAATGGGATTAGGCACGACGTGAAGATTAACTCCCACAGTTTGTTTTGCAAAGGTCTGATTATAATCAAATCCCAGCCCCTAATACCGTGAGTTTTGCTACAATTACAGACACAGCAGCCCTGCGCGGGGAGTAACAGCACCGTGATGTGGTTTCACCCGACACAAGGTGTCCGGGTCAGGGTGGCAGCCGGGAAAGATTTGGGGTGCTCTCCCCTGATGCCGGTTCCCGTGGGATGTTTTGGAGGATGCCCGGAGCTCAGCACCGTCGCTTGCCCCACGCTGCAGCACCACATCTGGTGGCACGTCCCTCCTGCTCCTGCCCTGAAGCCACCCACAGCCGCACAGGGCTTGGGGCATGGCTGGCCCCCATCGTGGCCACCCTCCGAAGGACCCCGAGGAGCACCCAGGCTCTCCCTAATATACCAAAATTAACCCTTCGATGTGGTGAGACCGGTGCCCCAGTCCCCAGCATCCCCGTCCCCACGGTCCTCCGATGCTCTCACCCGCCCAGCCTGCATCTTCAGCATCCATTTCCACCGTCACCTCTTCCTCCCAGGTGGGCGCGTGGGTGGGCACCGAGGACGCACGGGTCGCCTCCGGCTTCTGCTCGTCCCCTCTGCTGGTCTTACTGGGGGGAAAAGGGAGGCCAAACGGGCCGGTTACTGGGTGAGGAAGGGGAATGTGTCAGCAGAGAGCTGGGCCTGGGGAGGGGATGCTCACCGTCCCCGCTCGGTGCAGCTAACGGCAGCCAGCCCACCCTCCCACCACCTTTAGCAAAGCTCTGCCCCTGCTCGGGGGGGGCTGCGCTGGGGGCCCAGGGACAGCGTTACTCCCGGCTGCTGGATCCCCAGTGATGGGGTTTGCAGCCCCTTTTATCGGAAAGGCTGTTTCAGACCCCCGAGGCTAATTAGCCGGTTGTATTGATGAAGGGACAGGGAGGAGGCTGCTGGGAAAAGAGAGAGAAGATTGAATGTTAACGACCGCCGTCATTAAACTCAGCACATAACTGAGGCTGAGCAATAATTACGGCGGCGTTAGAGGCTACGGGCCCCCGGGTAATGCTTCATCCATCCTGGTGCTGGGTCACCACCATCAGAACTGTTTTGGGGTTGTTCTTCCCACTTTTATCAATTGATCATCAACTATTCACGAGCTTGGCTAATGATAAGAATGCCTCCCCCCCACCTCATCAGGGGTGCTGGCAGATCTTTTAGGAGGTCTCCGCTGCCCAGTGAGACAGTTGGTGTTATCCTGGGAGTCCCAAAACCACGACAGGGTCCCACCACCTTGGTGACACGGTGACCCCGAATCCTCTCCAGCCCCGACCACAGGGTAAAGGGGGACGGTGATGTGGCATCAGGCCAACGTGACACAGATGCCCCAGCCCTGCCAATGGGTTGCTCTGGACATTAAGATGATAAAATGTCCAGTGCTGGCTCCTCCAGGAAAGCTCTTGCTGGAGCAGAGCCAACACGGCTCTTAGGGAGAGGTTACCTCAGTCACTCTGGTGACTGAAGGCAGATGGTGGCACTTTGCCACCATCTGGGAGCTGGAGACCCCGATTCTGGGGAAAGGAGATGATAAAGGTCCTTCCAGCTGCAGGATGAGCTCCAGGTAGTGATGGGACCAAGAAGGTTCATCCCAGCAGGGTGGGAGGCTGCTCTATGCTTTCAAGACCTCCATCCCCGCTTGTTGCTGATGGGACTGGTCTAACAGACCCTCAGCCACGCCGCATCCTCATCCCATGCTCCTCTCCCACCTCCCACGTGTCCCCTTCCCCGCTGGAGCAGCCCACCTCCATCCCACAGGAATGGAGCCGAGCCGGCCAGCTCTGCCAGGTGGGAATTAGCATCGGGCTGGCACCGTGGTGGAGGGGCTGGAAGGAAATCAGCTCTCCAGTAATGAGCTCTGTGGGGGATTGCTCTACCAGCAACGTGCTCGGAGTCCGAATGAAGCCAGACTTGGGCTGGGGGGGGGGGGGTGGGAGGAGGAGGAGGGTAAGAACCGGCTGCTCTGGGCCCCCTTCATTATAGACTTGCCTAAGGATGAGAGCGCATTCAAAAAGAGCTGTGAAGTGGGGAGGGGGGTGGGGGAGGAAACAACCCACAACAGTGCAAGACATGGGGATGTGCTTCAAAATCAAGCAGTCAGGCCGGGGGGCAGCAGGAAGGGTGGCGAGCGGTGATGGTTTGATGTCTCCTCCTCACCCCAGCCAGCTCCAGACCTGCTGGTGGGGCAGGGGATGGGGTCTCCGGCCAGCGGGAGCCGCAGAACCGCGGACACGGCTGGGGGGGACCAAGAGATGCTCTTCTGACGCTCTGCATCCCTCCTCGCCTGCTCTGGGGGGGCAAGCGCTTCGCTCTGCCGTGCGAGGCTGCCCCCGCCACCCACCGCTGAGATAAAAGATAAAGATAAAAGATAAAGACAGCCGCCTCCGGGGAGTTATTAAACGTCAACGCCTCGGCTACAGCGCTTGGGGACAGCAGTGCTTGGGGACAGCATCACGCAGCCACCCCGCTGCGTGTGGCACCCGGGTGCCCAGCAAAGGGCTTGGCAGGGCTGTGCCCAGCCCTCGTAAGTATTTATTTATCCGGCATTATAAGTTATAATCTCCACGGGGCGAGTTATTTCTCGGGGCCGACACCCCTGCAAGAGGCAACGCGGTGGTGGAGGCGCATCGTTCTCAGGGAAGAAAACTCCCGTGCAGCACGGCCACGGTTCGCAGGGCCGCTAGCTGGGGTGTCACTTGTGCGGTGGTTGCAGGATGGGGCCCTGGGGAAGGCAGGGCTGCACCCCCCCCCCCCTCAGCCCCACTGTGCGTGGTGCTGAGCTCAGGGGTCTCAGGTGCAGTTGGGGTAAATAAATGCAGATAAATAAATCACGGAGGTACAAGAGCAATTTCTGGAAAGATTCAGAATAAGAAAGGAAGAATTTCCGCTCTCCTTTGAGAAGCCAAATTTTTTACACTGCTACTGACCCTCTAACGCTGGGACAGTCCATCTTCATCCCACCATGACCGAAGCTGGGTGCCAGGGAGAGGAGGGGACCCCCAAAGACCCCACTGGGTCCCACTTCCCACACCCCCTTGCTCTGGGGTTATCAGCTGAGCCCCTTGGCTTATTTTGGGGCACGTCTCAGAGCCAAAAGGAACACCCTAACCCCTTCCCAGGTGGAGCATCCCCTCCGCACCACTAGCAGGACCGCTGCTTGCACAGGCAGACCCGCGGGCAGGGGGGACACGGGAGCCCCCCCTCCCCCAGGCTGGGAGCAGATGGCGCATTCAGCAGCGACCTTGAGCTTCTTCTCTCAGCGCTGAAGAGCAGAGAGGAAGAAGCGAGGAGGCACTTGCACCCGCCCGCGGTACTCAATGGAGAGGAGAAGGCAGCTGGAGCCAGGAGCTTTGTGCTTTTAATTGCAAACACACCTGGCTCCGGCACGCCAAGGTCATCCCCGCATCGCGCCCGTCCGGGGACAATTTATCTGTGCGCACGAGGGAATGAAAGGAAGATGCAGAGCAAACCCACGGGTGCCCCCGCAAGCAGGGAGCGGGGATTTGCTCAGCATTCGGAGGATGAGGAGCAGAGCCAAGGTGCTGCCAGGTCCCTGGAGCATCCCTGGAGGAGGAGCCCCATCCCAAAGCCCCTCTGGATGGCTGCACGGGCTCTCCTGCCGCCCGAGGTCTTTCAGTTTCCCTCCCCGACCCTCTGCACCGAGATCTGGAAGCAGTGCACACAGCTGTGGAGCGCTGTGGGATGCTGAGTCTGGGCACGAGCGCCTGGGCGCAACCACAGAGGGCTGGTGCGAGTGGCATTGCTCCTCTCCTCCCATCCCTGGGATCTGGGGAGATGATGCTCCAGGTGCCGGCAGTTTGAGCTCGGGCTGGCTCCGCTGGTGGCACCCAACTGCTTCGGGGGGGACCGGCTGGGACCCCACCGGCACCTCCACCGACCGCTTCTCCTTCCCGTCCGTAAAAACCCACCTTTTAACTGCAACATGCTACTCTCCTTCAAAAGCAAGTGCCCTGAAAAACAATAACTGATTCCCTTCTGCCTTGGCTCCCTCACTATGGTTACTAAAAGGCCCCTCATGTGTCCTGCATCCCTAATACCACCCTCCCCTCCCCTCCATCACTCCCCTGTTACCATGGCAATGCGGTGATGGAGCAGCACCAGAATGTAAAGAGAGATGCAACAATCACACGCCACCCTCGTGCTATCATTTAGGATATTGATGTTTAAATCTCCTGAGATTATCTGGGTATAATTGGTTTATGGAAATAGAGACAACTCCTGCGGTGGAGTTAGTCAGGCTGTCGGGGCGGAGAGCGGGTCCTTGGCGTGGGGCGGGTGGGACAGAGGGGACGGGGTGATGGAGGGGGGGGCAGTTGGGGCTGCCAGCCCACGTGCCAGCCGGCTCCAACCGCACTGCAGGTGCCAGCTCAGCCCCCGCTGCCAAAAACCCGATGATGGAGAGACCTGCATCCCTCCTGCCCAAGGAGCCTCTGGAATGTCCGACACGGCCGGCGGAAAAAAAGGCACGCTGTGTGCCACGCCGACAGACCTTGGGACCCCCTTCGCCAGGGAGCTCAGGGTTTCTACATTGGAAAACGCCCAGCGAGCAACAGTTTGCTCTACCCGTTTGCAGAGAAGCTTTCACAATCCCTGGATGCTGATTGTCCCCAGTGACGAGCCCTGGCCCAGCTTCCCTGTCCCCTGGCACTGATGCACCCACACAGGTACTAGCCTGCCTGGCACTGCCCTGGGGAGATGTCCCAGAGAAACCAAACTCCGCAGCCAGGAGATGCTCCGAAGTTACTGACAGCTGCTTTCTCTCCCCTTTTCCAGGGAAGCTATGCCAAAGCCTCTCTGCCTCCTGGAAGGGCTCTTTGGGATCTCAGGCTCACCCCGCAGCAGCGCCGAGCGGAACAGCCTCCCTTTTAACACAGACCAAAGCATGACCGGCTAATTGAGTCCCCTGGCACATGCATAATGCAGGAGGAGCCACATTCTCCTTGCCCAAGCATCCTGTTTTATTTATTAAACCACTCTTTTATTTATTGTGATATCATCTCGAAACCCAGGCAGCGTTACCCTGTGGATTCTTTGACATCATTTTATACTTTCAATATTAGGAATGCTTTCTTCCCGACGCCCCAGCGAGCCAAAGCATCCCATCTCCTGCCTTCCCCCACCTCAGCGAGGAGTCCCGGCTCCTCTCCCTGCACCGAGCATCCCACAGACGCGATGCTTGTGTGTGTCGTTCCGAAAGAAGCTTCAACCCTCCCGGGGGCCTGCAAAGATTTAATAATAGGGTGACAGCTCCTAAACCCTTTCGCTGTGTCCCCATGGTCTCCGTTGTTGTCCCCCTTTGCGGACGCTGGGTACTCACACGACAACATACGGCCACGGCACCAGGCCCTCCCGCGTGGCCGGCAGGTTGCTGGCTCTGTGGAGGGTGACGGCGATGGTTTCCTTCCCCACGCGGGCCACGTGTCCCCTGCCAGCCACCCGTGTGTGCCTGGGCTTCTCCGTCCCGGCGGGGGACGTGGATACCTGCCGGGAGCGAGTGGGAGAGACGTCAAGGTGGGGAGCTGCAGGCACGTCCCTGTCACCCAACCTTGTCCCCATGGCCCAACCCTGAGAGCTCAGATGGCGGAGATGATGTCCCCGGAACATCCCTGTGACCCAAACTTGTCCCCACACCCCCCTGTTTGATGCTGAAAGCCTGGATGGAGGAGAACAAGCTGGGGAGATGGTGTCTCCCTGGCACATCCCCATCACAGCTGCCTCTTCCCTGTCCCCAGTGCCCCGCGGCGGCTCTGGACCATGGATGTCACCGTGTATGTTACCATGGATGTCACCGTGGATGTCACCGTGCCACGGCAGGGCCACAGAGGGTGACAGATTCTCGGGCAGGACACCCAGCAGCACGAGAGCATCCTGCACAGGGTGAAACCAGCCCGGCATCCCTGCTCAGCGTGGTCCCACGGGGGCCAGCTACACCATGGTCCAACCAAAGGCCCCAAACCAGGTCACCAAAGCAGGGATTAACCATTTAAGCACCTCCATTTCCCCCATGGCCCTCCGACCTGTCAACAACCCCCCTGCCTCCCGGCCCCTGCCATCCTCCTGCTCCCCCTTCTCGCCAGCCCAGGCATTTTTACAATTTATAGGGACTCCGCAGGAATTGGGATCTCAGCTCAATCCGGGGTGGGGAGGGGGGGGGCGGGGGGGGGGAGTGGGGAAAAAGCTCATTAATTCCCACCAGCTGATGCGATAAGGAGCAGCAGAGCCGCAAGCTGCCGCTCCTCACCCGCGGGGGGGACCGTCCCCGCACCCATCACACCCCGTCCAAGTGAGAGACAGCACCGTCCCCCCACCGGCTGCATCCCCGCCGTGCCACCGTTTTGGGCAGCACGCAGCATTAATGTGTCTAATATTGCACAGCGCTGTGGCTCCAAGGGGTTAACCCCCGCCCTGCGCCGCTGCAGACCCCGGCAAAGCAAACCCTGCCCTGCATCCTGCCGACCTCCTGGGGTTGAAGCAAGAGCTCCAGCCCAGCAACCACCCCGCGGGCTTCTCAAAGCCGCTGCCTGCAAATCCCCTCCGACGCGTGGCTTCACCTCCCAACTCTGTAACGGGGGGCTGCTTCATCCTCAACCCTCTCCCTCGTCTCTCCCGAGGCCGCCCAGCTGCAGCGGTGATGGGCTTGACAGCGGGGAGATGACCTGCCACCTTGGGCGGGGATAACAACCCCAAACCTGAAGATTGTTTTGTGGGATGGCAGCCTGGGCGTTCTGACTACCAACAGCCTGGAAAAGTGTTTAAATCTGCTTTTTTTCCCCCTTTTTTTTTTTTTTTTTTTTTTTTTTTTTTTTGCTGTCAGCTCAGAATCCAGCTGGAGCTTGGGGCTGGGGACACACTCAGCATCTGCGACAGCCAGAAAGTGGCACTGATTGAGCAGAAACACAAAGTGGGGGAGGATTCCCTGACCTGCAGAGTGGATTGGGGGGGAGGCTCCCCAATCCCACCCCAGGCTCCGTGGCGCTTATCCCCCCCACCTGGTGATGCTGATGTAGAGGGGAAATTACAGGGTTTGACACCCCAGCTCTCCCTGCACCCCCCAAAAGCACAGCACGGCAAGCCCTGACACCTTCCCAAGGCTTTTCCAGAGAGGACGGGAAAACGGATGGATGTGGAAGAGCAAAAACACAATCCTAAAAAAACTCCTGGAGTTTTAGTGAGTATCAGCCCCCCAGATACTCACTAAAAACCCAATCCAGAGGAATTCCAGCTAGTAGAGCCAGGAAACAACCTTGCTTTGAATTGCACAGACACCTCCAAGCTCGCTGATGGAGCTCTGCTCTGGGGGACCCCAGGACCTAAGCTGTGATGCTGGATCGGTGTCCCCCACCACACCCTTATTTACAGCTCCAGATCACTGTTTTGGGACATTTTCCTATGCTTTCCCTATTTTCTTTCACATGCCAGATAACAGAAGCAGATTTTCTTAGCACACATCTTCATACCCACCACTTATATTCACATCTCCCTAAAAAACCAAGGAGGTTTTACTGCCTGTAATGGTTACAGCATGACAATTAGCGACAGGTTTTAGTAGAAAATTCAGGAGCAGTTAAGCTAAGTAAAACTCAGCAGGAGAACAAAACATTTTAAAAATAGCAGGTGTGAACAATGCCAGGCTTTACAGGCAACCAGTACCAGAAACCCTCAGCAAGGCTGTGATTAACTACTGAAAAAAACCCCAAACCAGTCACTATTCAAAGCCAGGAGGAAATTCAGTATTTCTTTCAGAAAGGAGGGTGCCTGCAGTTCCAGGTAGAGCCCACGCTTCATTTTCAGCTCTCTTACTCAGTGGGAAGCAAAACTTCCCTGTCCCTGCCAAACCAAGCGCTCTCACCCCGGAGTTTGCAACCTGTAACGTGCGGAGGTGGAGAAAAAATGAAGTTGCCATGTCCCCGGGGGTCTCAGCTGGGGACACCCCATGTTTAAAACATTTTGAGGTCCCTTGGAGCGTCACTGACTCCTGCAGAGCACCTCGAGCATCTCACGCAATCCACTGCCCTGATCCCACGCAGCACCTTAACCCCAAGCCACCCTTAAAGCATCCTTAACGATGATTATTAATTATTCACCCTGCAACGTTGTGGGGAGGTTGATTAACGGCGCCTGAGCTGCCATCATCGTAATTTGTTTTTCTATCAACTCTTTATCATCTTGAAAGAAGCATCAGGGCCCAGGCAGCTCCTCTGCAGCAGCTCTCAGCCAAGATTAAATTGCTGCTGGCTGCGAGCTGACAAGACATAAATAGCCTCAAGAGCCCGATGTTTAGTTCGGGGAGGACAGCCTGGGCTGGGAGCCAGCAGGGACCTCCAGGCATGGCACTGCAGCGGGGCAGGGGCTCCTCCATCCCAGCTCGGCCCCTGCCCACAGCCGGAGCCCACGGCTGCATTTTTTCCCCCCGGGCAGAAGGTCGGTGAGTGCAGGATGCGCCTTCGCTTTGGATTTCCCCCGTGTGTTGGACAGCACAAGACCAGAGGTGAGCGCCTGGGGCTGTCCATCTGCAGCGTTCACCTCCTCAACCCCAAACACAGCCCTGCCAGGGCTCCTTGGGACGATGCACCGCTGCTCTGCAGGAGAAGACACCAGCCCCTGCCCTACCGTGGAAGGACTAGGACCCTCCTGGTCCTTCGTAGCGAACCCCACAACCCCCCAGCCCCAGATAAAACTGGGAGTGATGCTGCCACGGGAGCGGGGATCCGCTCCTCTACAATGGCAGCATTCACAGCCCTGAGCTTCTCCCTGCCCCTGCAATTTATGAGCGGCTGTTGGGAACGTGTCAGCTTTATCCTCCTCCTGAGACTTCATAAAATAATAGTAGGCTCCATGAACGAAGATGGACTGGGGCTGGTGTGAGTTTTCCTCTGTGATGTCTCCCCAGGCTCCTTTCAAGCCTCCTTACGGCAGCTAAACACCAGCAAGCTGCTTCCCCTCCCCTGGCAGCCGAGGGGATGGGAAATAAAGTGCCACTTGGCTTTAAACAAGCAGCAGGATCAGGCCACAGGTTGCACCTCCAACACTGTGCCATGGCTGGGGGGGGGGGGTGTTTGGGACGGACACAAACATGAGGTAGGGCTGGAGTATGGCCAGGACACCCCAGAGCCAGGCTGGGACATCCCAGAGCCAGGCCAGCCTGAGGAAACTGGGTCCCCAGGTGTCCCTTGGGATGTCCTAGCAGATCCAGCCACCTCTCAGGGCTCTGGGATGCAAGAGCACACCAAGAAGCCTGGGGACACCACAGAGCATCTCCCCATAATGTGTGTGTGGGGGGGAGTAGGCGAGCAGGCAGCGAACCAGCACGCACCTCCCTGCACAGGGGAACTGGGGTGGAGAGGGGGATTTTACATGTCATCAGGCAGCAAAACCGGGTGAAATAGGGGTCTACAACAAGGACTCAGCGGCTGATGGGTGAGTGGATGCAGCTGCTTCGCCCAGCTTCCGACATGCTGTGTGAGGGGCAATTTAGCACCCTGAATTCATGGTTTTTCGGGGGGGGGGGGAGATGTGTTGCATCCTGGCTGCCCCATGCCCCACTGTCCCCGTGTCCCCAGGCTCCGTGTCGATCCCCACGAGCTCGGGGTGTTGGAGTAGAGCGTGACATCCCACATCCGCAGGGGTTTGCACCCCCCGCCACCACCCCAAGCATCACGGCTCCTCATCTGTCTGCCATGCTCTCCGAAGCAACCGGAGCCTCGGCGCTAATCAGATTTGAGGCTGTGAAATCTCATTTGAGGCTCTATTAATGCATAGCTGGCATGACACAGGCCCCGGCCTGTCTCCAATGAGCAAAACAAGGAAAGCAATCTGGCCGGGAAAAATGCATCTCCCGGAACAAGCTCGGGGGAGCTGGCCAAACGCAATTACAGTTAAAAGGAAGATTCAAACAGTATCAGCACTCTTCTTCCTCCGACCCCTGCTCCCACCCGTGGGAGTGGAGCACCGAGCTGCACCGATGGGCAGCCCCGGCACCGTGGTCCTTCAAGCAGGGATGCGGTTGCAGCGGGATGCTGCCCCTTCAAAGCAAAAGGCTTTTGCACGACGCCACAATCTCCCTGCGTCGGTGGAAGGCGCGTGGGCTCATCCACGTGGGCTCATCCACGGTTTGCTGATGCGGCACGGGGAAAGTGTTATCCTGCCAGGTCCAGCTGCGGATGCTTTCCCCCTCTTTGCTTAGACACCGCTGAGGTTCTGCTCTCAACGCCTTAGAGCTGCCCGGCATGGGATGGGAGGAGAGCACCGCTCCCCTGTAACGACACCTACAATTAACACGTGCCGGAGAAGCCCTTGCCCTTGAAAAACGGCCTCTGGGATGACACCGAGGTGGGCACGCAAGGCAAGGAACAGCCATCAGCTTCCCAAATGAAAGGAGTCGGCGCGCACATGGTTTCCATTTCTAGGAGCTCGCAAGCGTATCCTCCCCCCTGCAAAGGCTCTAGACTCTGGCAAGCGCAGCTCAAAACACAGCCCTAAGA